AAGAGATAATAAGGGCTACAAAACATGAAACCCAATAGAAGGAATCCTTCAGGGAAGGCAAAGCAATTAGAGGAAGAGAAAAAAGAAAATAGGAGAGCCACAACAGAAAAATAATTTGACAAGGATAAATCAATGCATATCTTTTTTTTTTTTTTTTTTTGGTCTTTTTCCTTTTTATCAGTACTGGGGATTGAACTCACGACTGCCTGCTTGCAAGGCAGGCACTTAGGCCGATGAGCTAAATCCCCAGCCCCAATGCATATCATTTTTAACTATTAATGTTAATGTTCTCAATTCACCAGTCAAAAGTAACAGGCTGGCAGAATGGATCAAGAAGAAAGATCCAACAATATGCTAAATACAAAAAACACATCTAATTCAAAAATAAATGCATAGACTGAAAGTCAAAGGATGGAAATCAACACTCCATGTGACAAGAACCCAGAAAAAGTAGGGGTAGATATTCTATTTGGAGACAAAGTAAATTTCAAGCCAAGACTGATTAAGAGAGATAAAGAAGGTCACTACATACTCATTAAAAAAAAACTATCCAAGAGGAAGAGATAAAAACCCCAACTATATAAAACAATGACTAACAGAAATGAAAAATCAAATAAGTCCTATTATATGGGGAGACCTCAACACACCATTGTCACAAAAAGACAGATCAACTACACACAAAAAAATTAATAATGAAATATTAGAACTAAATCATGCTTTTGAACAATCGACTTAGTAGGTGTCTTTAGATTGTTCCAACCCACATCAGAATACATGTTCTCCTCCACAGCATACAGGACATTCTCCAAAATAGACAATACAATGGCTTATAGAACATGCTTAAGTAAATGTAAAGAAATTGAAATTATCCTAGGGGGCTGGGAATTTAGCTCAGTGGCATAAGCTCCTGCCTTGCAAGCAGACAGTAGTGAGTTCGATCCCCGGTACCGATAAAAAGGAAAAAGATGAAAAAAAAAAAAAAAAAAGAAAAGAAAAGAAAAGAAATTATCCCATATGGGAAGAAAAATGGTGGCTTGCTAGGAAGCTGGATAGAGAACCTCTCTGGGAAAAACAGTCCAGATGCTAGAATCTGATGCCATGGAGAGGGCCAGAGGATTGGAGAACAATTCCCACTAACCCAAGAGGAAACTGAAAGAAAAATAAAATTAGGAAGAAGAAGGAAAAGCGCGGGTGGAGGGCTAAAGCAGGACACACTCACTGAAAACCGGTCTGTGCTGGGCGCCCCATGGAGTCAGAGGATTCAAGGTCGCACCCAAGCCCATGGCTGCCAATAACAGGAGTTAGTGAGTCGTGGGCCCTTGGTGGGAGGACGCCACACAGTGTGGAGTGGAGCCAAGGTAGAGAGCTTTATTGGCTCTTGGTGAGTGCTGGAAATTGGGTCCTGTGGTTTGGGAGGCTGACTGGAAGACATTTTGGAGTAGGGCAGAGCCCTGGTGTCAGTCAACCACCCCTGGCCCAGAGAGGATTGGTGGGAACAGCTTGGACTGAACCACACCGCTAGTTGGGAACCAATAACCAGGGACGAAATTGTTCCCATCCTGTGATGTCCGCCACAGCACAGCGTAAAGTGCTGAAGGCAGTCACAAGTTGACTGCCTCGAGGGGAGGGGCCAAGATGCAGCCTCCCTGCATGCCACCTCAGATATCAGCAAACTGGAGAGAGCAACAAGCCCCCCAGCCAGCACGCATTAGAAAAACTATAAGTAATACAGAGACAGCCTGACACCTCCTCCACACACCTGTCTGAAGGAAACCAGAAACATGACAAGAGGAAAAGATAAGACAAAACCTCCAGCCACTGATGCTGGGAAAATAAGCCCAGGAGGGGTAAACACAGAAGAGAACCAGTCCAGTGATCATGCAATGTTAGCCACAACATCAGCAGACATAAAGAAATACATTCGTGACTTCATAGATGAACTTAAAACTGAAATTTTAACCCAAGTGAGACAAAAAATAAAAATGTTAATTAAAGAAATGCTAAGCCCCTCTCAAGAAAACACAAAGGGAAGAAGGGAGGAACCCAGAAAAGGAAGAGAAACCTATGGTGAATAATATAAACAAAATCTAGAATACATGAAGCAGATCCAAAGAGATTATCAGAAAACTAAAAACTCAATTGAAAGCTGGCAAAATGCCTTGACAGAAACAAAAGTTAGCCTTTTGAAACTTGAAGAGAGATTTAAAATGTGTGATTGTGAAAGGAAAGACCTATTAAAAATAACAAGGAACCAAGAAACAACAATTCAAAGGTTAGAAGACGACAAGAGGATCTATAACTTAATAATAAAAAACCTGAGCGAGAGGCTGGGGCATAGCTCAGCAGCATAAGTGCCTGCCTTGCAAGCAGGCAGTCATGAGTCCAATCCCCAGTACTGATAAAAAGAAAAAAGACACACACACACACACACACACACACACACAAAAAAACATGAGCGAAGAAGCAGGAGTAACCACAAATTACAAAGACAATTCACAGAAATAATTAAGGAAAACTTCCCAAGCATAGGAAAAAGAAATGATATTCAGACAAAAGAGGCATACAGAACTCCAGCCAACTACAATCAAAACAGATATACAACCAGACATATAATAATCAAGATTTCAGAAATCCACCAGAAGAACAGAATATTAAAAGTGGCCAGAGAAAAGAAGCAGATTACCTACAAAGGACAAATCATCAAAATAACAACAGACTTATCAACATAAACTATTAAATTGAGAAGAGCCTAGGGGGAAATAGTCCAAGCCTTGAAAGAAAATAACCTCCAACCAAGATTAATGTACCCTGAAAATTTCTCTCAAAATTAATGGAGAAACAAGATGTTTCCAAGAAAAAGAGGAACTGTAGGAGTTCATGGCCACAAACCCAACCCTACAGAAAATACTGAAGGATATTCTAGAGAGAGAGAGAAAAAAAAATACCAAGATTCCAGCAACAGTGGCAGAGAGGCCTCAATGAACAAGGAGGACAGTGGAATGAAGGAGAAAAATGGACAAATAATAGCAGAAAAATAGAATAGTAGAGTTGAGGCAGAGAAGGTGGGCTATAATTTTTAATATAGAGAGCCCTGATACACTAACAAAAAAAACCACAGGCAGAGTAGATTAGGAGGCAGGATCCATCAAGATGCTCTGAATAGGAAATATACTCAACCTGAAAGAAGGTTAATAAACTGAAAGTCAAAGATGAAAAAACAAAGCTCTAAGTGACAGGGAACCAGAGAGAAATAGGAACAACTCGTCCAGCAGCTGCAGATAGGTTGGAAAGTTATGACACTTTTGTGCAGTGGAGAACTACTCAGCTAGAAAGAAGGAAAACCTTGTGGCTTTAGTAAGTAAAGGAGTACAGCTCAAGATCAAGCTCAGGGGTAAAAAGGTTCAGCACAACTCAGATAGATAACAGGTTGCCCCCTTAATCTAAAAACTAAATGAGTTAGTGGGACCCAAAATATACAAAGCATCCTGAGAAAGGGAAAGGTGAGGAATTGCCTAAAAAAGGAAAGCAGAGGACATTGTTAATAGTGTATCAGGATTTAAAAGCCACAGTAATCTTATCACTTTGCTTAGTTTGACTTTATTTTGTTTGGGTCAGTCTACTCATACTAGATTTGAGGGTACAGATAGCTATCCCCAAAATAGCAAGCTATACCATGGGTAAACTATCCTTAATTTTCTATTAACTTAAACTGAAGCCCTGTATTACTTACATTGTCTTACTGTGATCTTATTTGAAGCTGGTTTGTTAAACTGCTGTTTTGCCTTGACTGATTTTATTCAAATTTGGTATGCTTGATAATATTGAGTCTAAGAGTAGAGGCAACTACTCTGAAGATGCCAAGATGTAATAACATACCCATCATGGCTTGATTATTAACTGCTATTGAAGTCCTACAATGTCTCCAAAGTTGTGTTTTTATTAAAATATCTATATAATGCTATGCTCAATTGTTATATGTCTGATAATGTGGACAATTCTACTGAAAATAAGAGAAAGTATAGTAACTACTGTAGATCATCTAATAATGTGGTTTTATACGTCTTTTTCATTTCATATTTTTCTAAGAATTTTTTTGTCTTGTTATGATCTGTTTTTCCCTATAATATAGAAAGGATAGTTATACATGTAGAGATTCACACATGGGGAGAATTTCTAAACAGTTTACAGGAACAGATTATATAATGCACAATGTAATGAACAAATACTCTGAAGAAGAGGAGACACTAAGAAACCCAGTGCTAATTCTGTAACTTTATGATATAAAAGCTAGCAAAACTATTATTCACTGTTCAGAGTGATATTAGTCTAGTCTCTTATGTTCAATTTCTGCATACATAAAGATAAAGACAGCTACTTTGAAGAGAATGAGGGACATTATGGCAGTCACTATTGACATCCCTAATGTCTTGAAGACCTAAAAAGCCTTGATCATCCAGTTATGATTATATTACTTCTATAATGTTCAGTATGTATTCACTGTGTGTGAAGATGGGGACAACTATTTGGAAGAAAACTAGAGACAATAAGATAGACAGTGAAGATCTGCAGTGGACCTGCTTTGAAATCAGTGTTTCTTAAAAATTTTTCCTTATGATCTGTTTTGGTATGTTTAATCTTATCCTCTTGCTTCTGGGAGAACATGACGGACAGATAGCAGCAGCTACGGAGGCTCTCTGAAAGACCCAGCTTAGAATTCAGGAATGGTGCAGAGTAAGGAATCATAAGCAAGAGGAGATATGCACCACTGACCCAAGAATGAACTGGGCTGAGAGAAACCAACTGGGAATGCAATCCTGGTGCTATAACAGGAACAGAAAAGCCTCAGTGTGGAAGCTGGAGCCCGAGCCATTGGAAGCTGCAATTTGGGTTTCCCGCCGCCACTGCTGCATCTACATCGGCTCAGCAGGGAGAGAGACTCACGAAAGCTGAGAACGGGAATCGGTGAATGGAGTTGAAAGCAGGACGGGCGGGGAGCTGACCTGCGGTGAGTGAGAGAAACTGGGACTCTTCCACGGTCTAGGAGACTCCAATAGAGGACATTCTGGGACCGGGCAGACTTGTGGGAACAGGGCGCTGCAGTTACTTCAGTCACCAATCCGCCTCTCAAGCGGGATTGGTGAGCAGTGCCTAGCCCACGTGACGCTGCTGGCTGAGACCCAGTAGGCTAGCACAGCCCAGGTCCCAGCTCCTGAAGGTGACCTGGAGGGGCGGGCCCCGCATAGGCTGCCTGGTCTGCAACTTCCTGGTGCGCTGCAGTGGGCGGGAACACCTAGCCCGTGCAATTCAATCAGACAGTGGCTGACAGGGAAGGAAGCTGGGCCTCCTATATACGCTTGCATATATAGGAAACAAAGAATATGGGAAGAGGCAGCAACAAGAAAGGCTCCTTGGCCCCCAATCCTGAGAAAGAGGCAATAGCAGACACAGCACCAATAGATATAAAGCGCTATCTCCAGAGCCTTATAGACAAGTTCAGGAACGAAGTTATTAATGACCTGAAGCTAGACATAAGCAGAATAGTTAGAGAAATGCTAAGCACCACCCAAGAAAAAAGTAGGAGTAATAAAATCTAAAATGTGTAATTGTTATTATAAAAAAAGGAAAAGAAAGTGCTCTAAAGGATATGTATATTTAAGTGTGTAAAACAGATAACCATATCACTAAGTTTTTGTTGGATCACTGAACAGAACTGTTTGCAGTCTTACTGTTTAAATGTTAACTTTGTATGCTTTAATTTTGTAACTTGAATAGTGACTTCTTTTTTATTTTTTTTAATTTTTATTTAAAGAAAGATTAAACCAAACAGAAAATAGGTAGAAATAGTACATACGTTCACAGAAAAAAAAAAAAACAGTAAGAAATCACTAATTGATGTTGTTTTACAAATAGTTGTTCAGGGTACAAAAATGGAACATGTAAAGTGGGAATTCAAACAGAGAGACTGCAAAAAGTTTTAATCAACTGTCCAACAAAAACTTAGTAACATGGTTGTCAATCCTATACATTTAAACATACATGCAGTTATCCATATCTTAGATTCTACACGTGCATTCTACACATGTATTTTAGCAAAATTTTTAATTTTGAAAGTAATAAATATGCAACAGCACAAGACAGAACAAAGCCAATCAGACAATACAGTGAAATTGGTACAGGATTTCACAGTAGAATACTGGGATAGTAGTAATAAGTACTATGGTATATCTCTTTAACTTAACAATAGCTGCCCAGTCAATTATGTATTGTAAAATCAAACCAAAAATAGAACATTGTAAAACCAATTGAGAATACTGAATACAGCAAAAGAAACATAACAAAATAGTGGGAACAACCTATGCCTTCAAACAGAAGATAGCAGGAAATCCCCCATATTTGCTATACTGCGTATGGTCATCCTCCCAAGAGATGTTGAAACACCTATCCCCAGTAGCTAAGCGGGGAGGAGGCAGGTGGGAGAAGGGTGCTTGATTTTCAGCTCGCCTGGCAGTAGGCTCACAGGTAATGGTTCTTCTCCAGTCCCATGCTGCAGGTGCTTATCAAGAGGGCAGGTGAATAAGCTGCCTGAGTCCCTCCATGGCCAGATCTCTGGAGCTCTGTTCTCCTCCTGGCCCATGCTGAACAGTGACTTCTAAGATGACAAAATGTAATCTATCAACTAGTGATTTCTTACTGTTTTTCTTAAATTCTGATTTACTTATACCCTTCTTTTGTTTTGCTTTTTTTCTCTTTAAATAAAGTTGGGTTTTTTTTTTTTTTTTGTCTTTTTCCTTTTTATCAGTACCAGGGATCGAACTCACGACTGCCTGCTTGCAAGGCAGGCGCTTATGCCGCTGAGCTAAATCCCCAGCCCCAATAAAATCTTTTATTAAAAAAAAAGAAAAAGAAATTATCCCATGCATACCATCAGACCACAGTGCAATGAATTGGAAATCCATGCCAAAGGAAACCACAAGAACTTCATAAACACATGGAAATTAAATAGCACCCTATTGAACAACCAGCAAGTCACAGATGAAATTAAACAGTTTTTACAGTTGAATGATAATGACAATACAACATACTGGAACTTGTGGGACACAATGAAAGCAGTCTTAAGAGGGAAATTTATAGTAGTAAAACCCATGTCAGGAAAACAGAGCAAGTGCAAATAAGCAACTTAACATTGAACCTTAAACTTCTTGAAAAAGGAGAGCAAGCTAAGCCAAAAGTTCATACAAGGCAGGAAATTATAAAGATCTGAGCAGAAATTAACACATTGGAGACCAAAAAGCAATTCAAAGAATCAATGAATCAAAGAGTTGAATTTTTGAAAGATAATAAAATTGACAAACCCTTAGCCAACCTTATCAAAAAGAAAGAAAGAAAAGACTCAAATCCAAGCAATTAGGAATGAAAAGGGTGAATCACAACAGACTTGCAGAAATCCAAAATATCATCTATACCTACTTTGCAAACTTGTATTCTAATAAGATGAAAAACAATAGAAGAAATAGACATATTCTTAGATATATGTGAATTACCAAAGCTGAATGAAGAAGTTATAAATCTTATTAATAAACCAATATCAAAGAAATTGAATATGTAATTAAAAATCTGTCAACAAAGAAAAGCCCAGACCCTGATGGATTCACTGCTGAATTTTACAAGAAATTTAGAGAAGACTTAACACCTCTACTTCTCAGGCTTTTTAATGAAATTGAATGGGAAGCAATACTTCCAAATTCATTCCTGAAGCAAGCATTATCGTGATACAAAGCCCAGAGAAGACCCAACTAAGAAAGAGAATTAGAGGTCAATCTCTCTAATAAACTTTGTTGCAAAAATTCTCAGTAAGATACTAGCAAACACACTGCAGCAAATCATCAAGAAGATTGTACACCATGATCAAGTGAGATTCATCCCAAGGATGCAGGGGGGTTCAACATACATAAATCCATAAATGTAATATATTATATTAATAGAGCCAAGGACAAAATTCGTATGATCATCTCAGTTTGCATTCATGCAAAAAAAAAAAAAAAGCATTTGACAAAGTCCAGGACCAATTCATGATAAAACCTCTTCAGAAAATTGGAACAGATGGTCTTTATCTCAATGTGATAAAAATCATCCTTGACAAACCAACAGCCAACATCATACTAAACAGGCAAAAACTGGAAGCTTTCATTTTAAAATCAGCAACAAGACAAGGATGCCCCTGTCTCCATTCTTCTTCAACATAGTCCTGAGAACTTTAACTGGAGGAATTAGACAACAGAAAGAAATAAAAGGAATAAAAGTAGGAAATGAAAAAGTTAAACTATCGTTATTTGAGATGACATGATACTCTAATTAGAAGACCCCAAAAACTTCACCAAAAGACTTGTAGATTTAATAAGTAAATTCATTAACAAAGTCAACACTCAAAAATCAATAGTCTTCCTGTACAGGAATAACAAACTCAATGAGGGAGAAATCAAAGAAATGATACCTTTTACAGTAGCATCCAAAAAAAGGAAATATCTAGGAATCAATCTAAGAGAGGATGTAAAACACCTCTACATTGAAAACTACTTCATTCTGAAAAAAGATTGAAGAGGATATTAGAAAATAGAGAAATGTCCTGTGCCTTTGGTTAGGAAGAATCAATATAGTGAAAATGACCATACTTCTAAAACTGTGATACAGATTCAGTGCAATCCAATCAAAAGTTCAATAGTGTATCTCATAGAATTAGAGAAAACAATCCTAAAATTCATCCAGAACCAAAAGAGACCTAGAATAGCCAAGGCAATCCCTGGCAACAAAAACAAGACAGGGGACATCACAATGCCTAACCTGAAATTATACTATAAAGCGACTATGTTTAAAAAGAAACAGTGGCAGACAGTCCCAAAGATCAATGGAATAGATTAGAAGATGCAGAAACAACTCCAGACACACTCTCTTTGACACCTTCTCTTTGACAAAGGTGCCAAACACATTCTCTGGAAGAAAGATAGCCTCTTTAATAAACGGCGCTGCAAAAACTGGCTCTACAGATGTTGAAGATTAAAACTAGACACATATTTCACCATGTACTTAGCTAAAATCTGAATGGATCAAAGATCTTAATGTTAAAACAGAATCATTAAATATATTGGAAGACAGAGTAGGTAAAACTCTTGAAGATGTTGGTGTAGGCAAAGACTTTATGAATAAAAGCCTCACTGCACAGGAACTATCACAAAGAACAACTGAGATCTCACCCTACTAAAAAGCTTTTTCACAGCAAGAAAAACCACCAACAGTATGAAGAGACAGCCCACAATGTGGGAGAAAAAGTTTTCTAGCTGTTGCTTAGATAAAGGATTACTATTGAGAACATATAAAGAACTCAAAAAAATCAGACCCCTGAAATTCAAAGACCCCATCCAAAAATGGGCATCTGAGTTGAATACACACTTCTCAGATGAAGAAATTAAAACAGGAACTAAATATGTAAAAAAATGTTCAACATCACTGGTCATTTGAGAGATGCAAATTAAAACAATACTGAGGTTCTACCTCACCACAGAAAGAATGGCTACTATCAAGAAATCAAGAAATAACAAATGCTGGAGGAACTGTGAGGAAAAAGAAACTCTTCTCCACTTTTGGTGGGAATACAGACTGGTGCAACCACTGTGGAAATCAGTTTGGAGCTTCCTCAAAAAACTAGGATTAGAGGTCCCATTCAGCCCAATTATTCTCCTTTTGTGTATCTCCCCAAAAGAATTAAAAACATCATATCACAGTGATATATGTGCACCCATGTTTATATCACCGTGGTTTGTAATAGCCAGATCTTGGAAACAATACAAGTGCCCATTGACTGAGAAATGGGTAAAAATGAGGCAGTATTTTTATACAGTGGAGTACTACTCAGCCATAAGAAAGATAAACTGAAGACTGTTATAGGTAAATGGATGCATCTTGAAAGCATACTCATTAGTGAGATAAACAAGACATACATGTATAAACACCGTATTGTTTCATTAGTGTGAGAAGCTGAAAGAAAAATATATGTATATGCGTATGTGTATGTATATGTATATAAAAAGCAGTTAAGATAGTTATACTACTCATTTCTCTGAGTTCACTAAAGAGAAAGATTTGTGCTGATATCATTTAGACATTGAATGCAGATGTCTTATGCTCTGAGTGAATGATTTGGGGGTGACAAT